TAACTTTTTCAAAAATGAACATATCAATATAATTTTTTTTTATATAGATGCTTGATGTCTTTACCTATCATTTGGTATATTTTTTTTGTAAATCTTACACTTAACCTGCCCACAGGGGGGGATTTAAAATGACAACTTTTTCACAAAAAATTAAATTTTTCAATTTGATTTTTGGAAATGTTCCGGAAGGTCTGACACTTTTATATATATCTTAAATTAAAGCTAATGTAATGTACTTTAATTTGAAAAAAAAAAATTTGACCTCTGGACTTGTCTTCATGGTGAAAACGGCTACCGAATGCTATTTTTGTGTGAAAATTTTCGATTTTATAATTTACATTTTTTACTTTAAAGTGCTATAACTTTTTAAAAAATGTATGGATCAATACAATTTTTTCATGAGAAGTAGTATTTATATACATCTTTCATTGGATATACTTTTTTTTTAAATCAGACTATTTCCCTATATATGGGGGGGCTTCAAATATAAAAAATGCATATAGAAAGTAGAACTTTTTCAACTTAACTTTTGAAAATGTTCCGGAAGGTCTGACACTTTTATATATATCTTAAATTAAAGCTAATGTAATGTACTTTAATTTGAAAAAAAAAAATTTGACCTCTGGATTTGTCTTCACGGCGAAAATGGCTACTGAATGCTATTTTTGTGTGAAAATTCTCGATTTTATTATTTATATTATATTTAACTTTATAATGCTATAACTTATTGAAAAGTTTATGGATCCACACAATTTTTTTATGAGAAATAATATTTTTTAATAATCACTTTTTCATTCGACATACTTTATCTTATTTAGGATATTAATAATGAACTAGCAGATCAAGTAGCTTTTGGAATAAAACACCAATTTTTTTAAAATTAAACACTATCTAAAGATTTGCATCGAAGCGTTTTTTTTGATAGTGATTTTAATCACTGTCAGATATCATTATACTTAATCCAACTATGCCACGTCACCACTGTGCCGCGACCCCCCTTTTCTGGGTTTTTAATAATTTATTTTATTATTTATATCATTTTTTTTTATTAATATATATATTTATAATGTTATTAATAAATAATAATAGTAAGTAATTAAGTATGTTTTATATTATAATTTAGCAGTGTATTTACGAAAATTGAAGTAATGTCATAGTAAACGCATTAAATAATTTAGTTTTAAATAACCGATAAAAATATTTATAAAACCACGAAAAATGCAATTTTTAGTTATTTCAGTTATCCAATTTTTATTATATCTTTTGTAACAATAGAATAAGTAAATTAATAATAATAAAGTTAATTAATTTCAAATGAAGGTAAAATTGTGGTGTATTTTTTTATTTTATTACAATACAAATCTAATATTCTACCAGTTAAATCACTCTGAAAAATGTTACACTTATCCCTGCGTGCTAGTTACAAGCACTGGTTTTTTTTTTATTTTATTCTAGTCCGACTTTATTTTTCGCTAAATAGGTTGGTCGCACTATATTTACATTTTTTTAGGCGTCATGAAATTAAATTTCCCATTGATGTCAAAATTTAAATTAAAATTTTTGTAATCTTTTAACAACATATATGTGTGATATAAAAAGTGAGGGTAATGTATTATTTCTCCAGTTTTTGGTTCAACTATAAATATCTGATGCTAGTGGATGAACTTATCATCGGTCCAAAAAAATAGGCTAAACCGTGTAACGTATCGTCGTACCTTCGTACCTAGGCACGAATTCAGAAATTTTTAATTATAACTGTTTGGCGAATTTGATAATGTATACCATTATGACTATAGTTATTATTTCCTTAAACAAAATATTAGCTATTAATTAAATATACCATAATTTCAAAAAATAATTGACTGGCAAATTATCAGTATTTTGATTAGTATTACCAATTATATTTTATACATTAAATAAAAATTTAAAAATGGATAATTACGAAAAAATAGTGAACAATATAGAATTTAACTACTAAATTACTTATAAATTTAATTGAATGTTGCTTTATTCAAATAAAATACATTGCTGCTGTATAACTACAAAAAAGGAAGCTACAAGTAATGCTTTACTACATGAAAACAGTGGTTGAATCCTCTAGCCATTTGTAACTATGAATAAACAAGTGTCTACTGTATGTTGTTCTTGTAATCTTTTAAAATCGTATAAGCAAATGTAATATAGTGGCTTATTAAGTGATACTCATGGAGTTTTATTAAAAAAAAATTCTTTTGATTTACTAATGACTTTTATTTTCTTCATAAATATTTAACTTGGGTAACATTTTAAAATCAGATAAAGAATTTAAATATAAAGCTAAATTATTATATTTTTCAATCTGTTTTTCTTTAAATCTTTCCATTTTTAATAATAACATATCCAATTTGCTTTTTAGAGTTGAACACAAAGTCGTCATCTTTTTTTTTTGTTCAATATTTTCAAATACATCACTTTCTAACGAATTCATCATTGATTTAAGTGCAAATTGCTTCTATAACATATTATCAAATAAGTTTAATAAGATAATTTTATAAATATAATTATAAAAATAAAATAACTTTATAAAAAACTAAAAAATATTCATGGGAACAATCTTCAAAATGTGACCCTAAGAATTTCAGAAAAATACAATGTGTAATATTTACGATCATTAAAGATTATCAATCCCATAAAATCGGAAAATTTGTGGACAAATACAAAAAAACAATGTATAACTAATACCTTTTAACTACGCCTGGTCACCACATACTACAATGTTGACCAGGCGATAATTTTTAATAAATTTAATGTCATTTAATAGAAGTTACCTTAATTAAACTATTTCTTGCTTTCACAAATTGATATTTAGTTGACTGTCTAAAATCTGAAATAATCTTGTCTCGTATAATTTTTGCTGATTGCTCCGTCAAAGGTTTCGTTGCTACTTCTAGGTATGGTAAAGCATATTCAATCTGTTTAGCTTTTTCTCTTTTTTTAAACGCTCGTACTTTATCTTTCTAAAAAATAATAAATTATTAAAATCTAAAAACGCAAGTTTATGACCAAACCTACTTCATTTTGAAGAAGTTGCTTATTTTTTGTATTTCTATCCCAATCAAGAGATTCCACAATCAATTGAAATTTTAAGCATTCACTAATACGTGTTTTCAAAATAGAAGAAACATTGGTCTCCAATCGAGATAAATCACGACGTGCTTCATACTCGGCTTCCATCATATCTTTAAGCATTAAATACGCTTCAAATGGTTTTAGTTTATTTTCATATGGATATACTTCATTTTCAATTACTAAGTCTTCATCAAACTGAATATCTTTGCCACTTACCAAAGGTTTATGAAACAATCTACCCGGTCGTGTAATTTGTCCTTCGCCAAAATGATATTCTACGTGTATTGAATTCATTGCTAAATTGAATTCTCTGACAGCAATGTCCCGGTAATTTGGTAGTGTTTTATTTCTTAAGTATTTTTCATATATAATCTAATTCAAATTTAATAAAAATAATGAAACTTGAATTGATAGTGAAAATAATAAATTATATTTAATTGTTGTTATTCAACAAAATAAAATCACACTAAAATCAGATAATTATTTTTTTTAAATATTTTTCAAAAGAAATATTTCTATCAAGAGGTTAAATATCAAAAAAAAGAAAAAAAAATACACAAATGAAGTTTTGTTAATACCCTAAGTAAATAATAAATACTTTGTTAATAAAATGATAATTTGTAAGGAGTTTAAGACTTGCATTGGCTGGGCATGTGTGGAGAGCTGATGAGTGTCTCATAAACATGGATATAGTAAATCAAGTAGATCGAAATAGACTAAGGGGACGTCCAAGGTAAAGATGGCTAGATGTGGTTAGAAAAGATCTAGAGGAGTTAAAACCGGACTGGAACGGAAACTTGGATCTAGCTCACGCAAGATAAGTATGGGGGGAATTGGTTTTAGATGCAAAAAGCCTAAACGGCTCGTAAAAGATTTAAAAAAATAAATAAAATGATGGAGAAATACGAAAAAAATTGATTTATATTTAATTTCTTAAAAATAAAAGTTATAAAACATTAAATATCTACAAAAATGTTAATTTTAAAATTGCTATTTTTTGAAAAACTCTTGTCATTGAAATTCAGTCAGAATTTCTCGATTTTTCTAAATAAATTAAATGTAAGTTTAAATACTGTTTTTTATATACATATAATTTATCCTTAAGAATTTAATCAATCAAGATTGAATACTCAGATCAGAACAATCTTTACTCACTTTTATTTTTCTTTTTTCAGAAATAGATTTTTCTTCGATAGACTTGTCAAAATTGAACTCATACATTCGCCAAAATAACCTATCTGGTCTATAAAAATCGTATTACTAAGTAAATTATTTAATATAATCAAGTATTGGTAGTTTCTAAACAAGTAAGAAATCATAGCCGCTAGCAAACTATTAAACTAAGTCTATATCTTTATTCAGATTATTGATGATATTTTAAGATAATTAAATATCGGTATTAAAAATTTTATAAAAAATAATAAAAACTTCTACTGTGGATACGGGTAAGAATACTTCCCCGGCCCCTCTGCCAGTCGTAAGAGGCGACTAATGAGGTTGTATCAGATCGACAGCCGACGTAAAAATCTTTTGTCAAAAAAGTATGAGGAATCCTGAATAAAACTTAGGCGGATTGTCCCATCTCAGATGTACGCAGGGACAACAGAAAGTAGTTAAAAATGGAGAAGGCCTAAGGAATAAAGTGTTTGATACCAGCCGGACAACTTGCGCAGTAGCTGTTTCACCAGTCATATTTATAGATCTTCCCAACGCTTGTAGTGTCAACGGTGTAGGGACATCACTACTTAACTCTAGACTGGACTCGTGTATAAGGGAGAAAGATAGATACAAAGTAAGAATAGGTACTTGAAATGTTGGAACATTAACTGGTAAAAGTAGAGAATTAGTAGTAGTATTGATGAGGAGAAAAGTTAACATTTGTTGTGTGCAGAAAACTATGTGGAAAGGAGAGAAATCAAGGGAAATAGGTGAGGGTTATAAAATAATATACTCAGGTAAGTCTAGAACAAAGAATGGTGTAGGGATAATAATGGATGAGGAGATGAAAAATAGTGTAGTAGAAGTAGCTAGGAAAAGTGACAGAATTATGATCGTAAAATTGATATTCAAAGAAAAAGTGCTGAATGTAATAAGTGCCTATGCACCACAAGTGGGATGTGATAAAATAGACAAGGAAGTATTTTGGAGAGAGATGGATGAGGTGATGCAAGAGGTACCTGACAATGAGGATGCGGTGATAGGCGGAGTTATGAATGAACATGTAGGTAATGAGAGGAGAGGATATTAAAGAGTACACGGAGGATATGGTTTTAGTGGAAAGAATGAGGGTGGAGAAAGAATACTGGATTTCGCAATATCGTATGATCTTGCTGTGGTTAATACTTATTTTATAAAGAGGGAAGAACATTATATAACATATAAGAGTGGGAGGAATAGATCACAGATCGATTATTTTATGTGGAAGAGAAAGAGCGTAAAGCGAGTAAAAGATTGTAAAGTTATACNTAAGAGTGGGAGGAATAGATCACAGATCGATTATTTTATGTGGAAGAGAAAGAGCGTAAAGCGAGTAAAAGATTGTAAAGTTAGTATAACTTTACAATCGCCTAGTATAGGCGAGAGTGTAACTACACAACATTAACTTATGGTAATGGAGTTGTGGTGTACCGGAAAAAGAATAAACAAAAATAGAAGAAACACAGAGGAAAAATCGATGATCCGATGGTGGAAATTGAAAGGGGAAAATGAAAAAGAGTTTGTAAAGATGGTAAAAGAGAGGACGCTGTGAAATGTCAAGGGAGACATAAATGATGTGTAATAGATTTGCTAGTTGTGTAAAAAATACGCGATAAAATTAACTTGACGAATCACAAAAAAGCTTTTCAAGAACTAAAAAATAAATCAACTAAAAAGACTCTCCTCTTGCACTATAACGAAAACTATCAATCGATTTTTCCTAACAGTCGGGAAGATCTTAGCGTAATTTTGTAGAAAAAAGACGATAGCGGCATAATTGAATCAGTTTTATTTGCATCAAAAAAATTAACTTCTGCTGAATCTAATTACTCAGAAATGGAACTCGAAATTTTATACAATTCATCAATCTTAGTTCAGCCAATGAACAATCAAGTAGATCAAGCAAATGACAATTTTTTAGAAAATATTATAAAGGCAATTAGAAAACCCAATGCGAGCAACAATAAATGGTTAAACAAAGCAAAACACTATTTTATTGATAAAAACGGTACTTTATACTATACAATTAAATATCGCGACATGAATAAAATAATACTAGCTTTACTTTCTAAGTATATTTATTATATAATTACTGATAGCCTCGATAGTTCTCTGTGCGTGCATGTAGGCTTCATCAAAACTTTAGACAAAATCAAAAACAAATATTTCTGTCCGAAAAAGCGTAGAAATATAAAAAAATAACGTATTAAATTGTGAAAGTTGTCAAAATCGAAGATTGTACAAACAGCCAAAACCCCTTAAAGCAAGCGGATACCCTTTGGACAATGGTGGGGTAATGTAAGAGATTTTTTTAGATTACATTGGTCCCATTGAAAATTCTAAATCATATAAATATATACTCCTTGCAACCGATAAACTGTATAATTTTTGCGTAACTAAAGCTTATGCCCAGAGCACAAACAAATTTATACTATACTTCATTTTAAGATTTGGACCTCCTAAAGTCACTAAATCAAACTGCATTCCCACTGGGATCCTAACAGTTGACTAAGCTGTACCTTAACGGGGCAACACTGGCCTTATATAATTTATATTCCACTAGAAGGGCAGTTAGCGGTTTCGTGACCAATAAATATAGACTCTCAACTAACAACGATAACAAGCATTTGTTTCTATTTAATAGTATATTTAAATATAACCTGATTGGATCTCTAGAGATGTTGTGGTATCCAAGTTAGGTGAGCAACAGCGGCGAACGTACACAATCCGATTGTAATAAAATAAATGCTAATAATTAAATTAATAGTAAAAAATAATATTGTCGGAATTAGGTTGTAGTAATAAAAATATAATCTGTAATAAAAAATGAGTAGCCACGAGCGTGGTAAAATGTCGATTGACTGTCGTTATATATTTCTTTAATGAAGAAGAATATCATCGGTTTTGTTTACACCCGCGCGTGCCGCATATCTGTAGTAGGTCGTAGAGACGTTTGTGCTGATCAGGCGCTAGTATGGTATTGAAATGCTAATGTTGGACGAATAATCTGTACGTTACACAACAATACTACAGATTTTACCGCCATTTCAATTTAAGAACTTTTAGATTCTTAGACATATTCTTTACAAAAAAATTTAGCATCCCTTACAAACCAACCTAGCAAGGACAAGTTGAACTGTAAAACCATAGTCTCATTAATATCATTGTCCACTACTTATGTGGTAATAATAAATTGGCAGACTATTTATATATTTACTTTTTGCATACTTCAGTGCATGAGATCACTAAGTATACTCCTTATTACTTAGATCACGGTTATCATTCATAGAGTATATATGATCTAGCACTTTACCTCTAAACGACGCGAATATTTTAGCCGAACTCAATAATTTAAATCATGTACAAAAAATAACTTTGCCAAAAATAATTAAAACAACATCAGACACGAAATACGCAACTGAAAACAAGTATTAGTTAGAGTTTTTATTCGGAAAAACAAATTCGAACATCGCTATGAAATTATCAAACAAATAGGACCCTATGCGTATTTAATAAAAATAATGTACTCAACGATTCACCAGGCAATATAGATAAAATAATAACTTTATTTTCAGAAATAATACTTAAATTATTATTTTTTTCCTTTCATACAATTTTATTATTTGCTACTGCATCGTGAATATAGCATATAACATATATATATATATATATCAGTGTTGAGAAGGAACTGGTTCCAAAGGGAACGGATTCCTGGAACGAGTTCTTTTTGAAGGAACGATGCTAGGAACTGCTTTCTTTTAAAATAAAGGAACGAGGAAAATGAACAAATTCCATTTTTTAAGGAACGTGAACGGAAATTACAGTTCCTAAAAATTTTTATAAACATGTTTTAGTGTAGTTTTCTTCGTATCTAGACATTAAAATATTAAGGTATTTTTAGTTGACTTTTGACAGTGGAAGTCCCCTATATACCCAGCCGAGATCGTAGGCTGTTTAAATGAATCAATTGACTATAAATAGAGTTATTATCACATGTAGGTATACAGTAAATATTTAATATATGTTTACCAGTAGAGAAAAATACAACTTCAAGTTCTCGTATTGAAGAGTTAGAATTATTCTTAAAATGCCAGTCGAAAGACTTGACTGTGTTACTATTGTACCCTGCAATATTAAAAGTATTTTTAGAATTTAACACACCCCTTCCATCTAGTGCTCCTGTTGAGCGACTGTTTTCGACAGGTTCCAATGTGATGACACAAAAACGCCATAAATTGAGTGATTCACTTTTTGAAAAATTAGTTCTATTAAAACAAAACAAATTTGGTATATAAAATGAAAATTTTGTTTTGTTTTAATAGGACTAATAATTCTCAAATTTGTAATTAATATGTGTGTTAAATACTAAAAATACTTTTAATATAATACTATTAAATAGTAAAACTGTAAATAAATAGTTGTAAATAGTGTAAATAGTTGTTAACTGTACAAATTTTTTACAGTTAACAGCTATAAGTCTAATAATAAGAAATATGCATTATTACAATGTTATAATATTTAAAACTACATCTGTAATGTGTAGCATTTTAATTATTATAGTAGTTATTTATATTCTGATTTAAAATATCAGTAGTACAGTTATACATTTTTATTACAGAATGATGTCACATTGTTTTTGTGTAGTTACTAGTTATAAAACATTATTAAACATATTTATTTATGCCTTTTGATTTAAATATGCCATATAATCTAATAATTCATAATAATAATAAAAACAATTTTTTAAATAACTTGGTTACATAAAAGGAACGGAGAGTGGAACGAGTTCTTATTTTGGAGGAACTGGATCTGGAACAAGTTCCTTCTTAATATAAAGAACTAGGATCGGGAACGAGTTCCATTTAAAAAGGAACTTTCCCAACACTGATATATATATATATATATATAAATATATATACATATGTTTGGGTGCACGTATATATGATTATTTCACTACACTAAAACTTTTACAAGCAAAATGTGCAAATGACTACCAACTTGACCATTATCTTTTACCATTGTCATCAAGTGAAATACTTAGCTTTTTGCATACACAATTCTTATTAACTTGAAATACTATTCTATTTACAATACATTTTTTCTAATTATTTATTATAACAAAATTCTATTTTAGAAAAATTAATTAATCTTCATTATAATTTTTCTGAATAATGACAATCATTTTAAGTAACAATCACACCAATTATTGAAGTAAGTGGATAATCAAATAAACAAGGTATTTGATATTTTAATTATTACATTAAAATTAAAATATGGTATTTTTCGCTAGTTTGTTTTTCTTAGGCGCTTGCATTTTTTATCTGTGTGGCGCTTGTGAACAATTTTTATTAACTCTATAAACAACTTAGGACTATATTATACAAATTTGGACACTTTTCTTTTTTCAAAAGATTCATAAATCTGATTATTTATGTCAATATCTTCAGTTACGAGGCCAAATATAGTGAAATTCACGAGCTTCATTTACAAACTCTAAAATTATGTAATAATCCTAACAAGACTTCTAATACGTCATTTACTTAGCAAACTATAACAGCATTCTTAAATTCAATTTACTTGAGATGGATAGATATTTTAATAATTTAATTCATTTATTATACAAAAAGCTAAAACGCGCACTTATAAATCTAATAGAAAAATTTAACCACTTTGTGTTCGGGAATCTTGAATAGATAAATAACAAACTTAACAATTATGCAATGCGTGTAGCCATGTCTTTAAAAATTCAGAAGAAACAAACTGTTTTTTTACAATTGGGCCTGAATTCCATTAAAAATATTACCGAAATAATACAGAACAATACATTCAAAATAAAGCACACAATAGATACAATTATAGACACGCAACAGAATATAACATTCAGAATTTCAGATTTAGAACTGGAACAATTGTTAAAGCGCTTTAAATGAACACTTTACCATATTTAAGTTAATTATCTCGGAATTCAATCTCGAAGCAAATGATCTTGCTACTACAATATCGGCAACACGTCAAAATCAACTTCTTGCAAATGTATTAGATACCAATACGTTAATAAAACATCTCGAACAAATTGAATCCGAACTACCGTCAAATATGCAATTATCCACCGAAACAATATTTATTATAAATATATTAAATTTCATCGCACTAATTAAACTTTTTGTGGTCTTCATTGGCAATAATCTAATATCAGACTAGATATTCTGAAATTTAACAGATCTCGTAATAACTTTTACCATTTAATTCCGCTTCTAATAATTATAGCCAATAATCAATTCACGTATATTGAGCCGGAACATCATTATCTGGTCATTTCTATGGATACAATAATTCCGTTCGCCGAACGGGATATTAGCGCGTGTCATACGAACAAGGTACAAACAACATGTTTGTATCTCGATATAATCAAAAGGCAAATGCTAATCAATTGCGAAACTAAAATGTTTGCGAACCTTTCAAAAATTCCAGACAGCTGCAATATTAAACATTTTCATTTAAAATCGCACATTTACATCAATCTTGTGACAAAAAACAATTGGATCTATTTGTCAACCGAGGTAATAAACAAATCAATAATTTGTGGCCTAAACACATATACCGCAGAAATTAACACCGCCGGATTCTTGACAATCAACGTAGGCTTTCAAATCCATACTGTAACTGATATATTACAATAACGGTCATTCAAAACAAAATCATATCGGATTGATTTTGTTCCATAGCTTAACACCTCGCAACAAAGATATATTATAAATAAATTTAACAAAATAAAATACTCACCGATTATAAAAAAAACCTGCGATACAACCAATACAACCGAATTTAAATGCTCTAGGAACATTTTTTAAATCATTGGATGACTAATTGAAGATAAAGACGTAGGCAAAAAAAATATTAAATTCGAAACAATAATCAATGACAATACAATATTGTACTTTATACTATTATTTCTGCTAGGCTATCTAATACTCTATATATTCTTTAGACATATTGTGCGCAAATGTAGGCGCGAACCTAAAAGATAGATGGCGCGAAGAAGAACCGATTACTCCACAAATTAATTGCAATACAATCTCTTAAAATACACTTAAAAAAAATAACCTATAATAATAAAAACTGCCAATTATTTCTTGACAGCATGACACATGGAAAATTTTCATTTAGCCAATCTGACTTATTATGGTGAACAGCCGAATCAAGAATTTTTTGGAGAACATGATGCGGTGTTTGCTCACTGTGCCAATTCAGACTTCTATCACCCACGCAGACTGACAAGGGGCGTCGCTAGCAAATTTTTATCCTTCATTTGGAAACCGGTAAGTCTGATAAGCTTTCGGCTTATATTTGCTCCGAACAAAAATTAACTAATTGTTAACTCTTCTAACAAAATCCAATCATAATAAAAAACTTAGCATCTACGATTTCGAAGCTGCCATCGTCCAACTATTCAATTTTTTAATATCAAACAATATCCGGGGGTTACCCTGCCTCGATCAGAATGAACCTTGGTAATATTCCGATAAAAATTGGAGCACAACTCATTTATCACCACTTGATATGCCGGGCACTAAATGTAAGAATATACGCGAAGGAAAAACTCTTCCGTCTCTTGTGCCACCAATTTCATCAACTAGAACATTTTATAAAAAAATATCATTAATTTTGCTAAAATTTATACAATATGGTGTTATCTAAAGGTATCTAGACAAAAATGTTTATCAAGTCCCCCGGTCTATTACTAGGGATCTTAATAACATGACTAGAGATTATATAAGCACTTTGACTGAACTACTGATAGGACACAGTCATCTGCTTTAAAATTATGTGTGAATGTGACACACTGGTTACATTAAGATTTAAGAGTTTGAGAAAATCTTTTCCTGAAAAAGAAAATATCAATAACCTACAAACCTAAAGGGATATTTATTTTGCCAGAGACAGGACTAATTTGAACACACACATATATATAGAGAGTGATTATTTTATCATAACCCACTCAATTACTTACAGACTAAATACAATTTAAACATTTTTCTTTTTAATTATCTTTAGTTACACATTATTCTCGAATTATTAATTATGTAATACTTTTTAAATTTATCCCTTATTATGCCTTGTAAAGGTGTCAACTTTGTTTTTTGAAAAGGGAACACATATTATGAATTTAATAAAATGTTTAAATTTAATAGTAAATGGCTTAGAATTTCGAATAAAACTTTATTTGTATATTAGATACAAGACTTTAAAGTTTCAACTTTTTGAACTAATATGCATGTATAATATGCAAAGGATTACAAATTCAATATATTTTTTTATATATAGCGCGTAATTTAGTAGTAATAATTCCTACACAATTGGTACATTTGTTAAAGCATTCATTAATATTATGTTAAATCATAACGGTTCGAACTACAAAACTCACTATTACAATAATAATACAATGATAAGTTACAGAATTTCGGAAAAATAATATCAACAGAACTAACAGTTGTGATCACAACTAGCTAATAAAAACATTTTATTTAAGATTGTTACTCTTAAAATTATTAAACTTAAAAGTATTGCATCAAATCCTCTAATTTTTATACATCTTTGTCGTAGAAGTAACGAAATATACGTTTAGTTCATTATTTTTTATGATTTCTCCATAAAAATTATAATATTAAATTATTAAATTATTAAATAAATAATTTATTTTTTAATAACTAATTTATTTTTATTTAATTAAAAATAAAATGTGTTAAAATACTTTCATTCTAAGAAGACAAAATATATTATATTGTCTTAAAAAATGTAAAAACTAATAAATTAAAACAATTATACAAACCTCTCTTTAAACTTCGCTATAACCAATAGTTTGTCCATTTTAAGTTCTATTAATGAATCTAATCTAGTCGTATCGTAAAAACTTAAAAATCGTTTGTCTTCAATATTATTTTTAGAAGAATTAAACTTGTGCGCTAAAATATAAGAAAAATTAATATTGTATAAAAATAATAAAAAATTGTTTTTTGAATTATATAATACTTTTTAAGCAATCTTTTCGTCCACTTCTGAAGTATTCCACGATTTCATTCCCTTTATCAGTATATGTTATATCGATGCGCATTAATAGATCCGCTCTATGTTTGTATAATTCTTTAACAAACATTTTCTGTATTCGGTCTTTTTTTTTATAGTATGTAATTCTTTCAACTAGTCCGTCTGGCATTATATAATCAGCATATAATTCTTTAACTGCATTGGAATACATTATGATTTTTTTTCCAGATGGATAAATCATCAAATACACTATGATTTTATAATGAAATAATTTAATTGTATTTTCAACGTTATTTAATTAATAATTAATAACATACTATTTCTAGGAACTTTTAAAACAGTGACCCATGAATTAGGCATAAATAAATGCTTATTTACTTTGATTGTGTCATCTACTTTATTGAGTTCACGACGAAGATGTTTAGGTTCATCTATTAAAAAATGTTCCCAGCACTTAGTGTTCATTAATGTATAGTTATATTGCTGCAAATTCAAAATTTACTATAAAACTATTACATGATTGATACGATCACATATATATATGATTATATCCTATAACATTATTATACCGACTACTAGGATTATAAAATTAACACAGTGACACATGTATTACTACAAAAGGGCAGACTGCATACATAATCACTTTCGAAATTCATGGCCACCGTGCCATAATACGAATGGCTCAAAGGCCAATTGACTTTTTACCATCATCGCGATTATTACTTTTGTTTTATACTTTAAATTAAATTAGCTACCACTGAGATTGTGTGCGTGTGTTGCCGTCAGCTCCCTTGGATTATTATTATCTCTAGGTGTCCAGCATGTTGTACTGTATATTTAATATTAATTACTTAATTAATGTTTATATCGTAGTTAACCAAGGTTGTTATATATATATATATATATATATATATATTATTGTTGTTTGACCCTAAATAGTTCCTCTAAGAGAATATAAATTAAAAAGACAACCTCAGTACCTAAGGTAGATATACCCAAGTCAGCTATTCCCCGTTAATCACTTAGAATACTGTTGACGAGATTTAGGCTCAACCCCTAAATAACTGATAAAAATTATCTACTAATATTACATTATAACACACCATAGAACAATTATCTTAAAAATAAAAAAAAATATTAAAATACAACAAACTAATTTACTAACTATATCTAAATAATTTAAAAATCACTACCATACATCCACCATATAAAGGTTGTAAATTAACCCAGTAATTCTGATTATTCCACAATGCTTCAATTCCAATATAACTTCTACTTGAAATACTACAAATTTTACCTGTACTTGGCTCAACAAAAAATAATTCTTTACTAATATACTTATTTTGAATCTTTAAAGGTAAAATGATAACCCAACAATGGACTCGTTGTCTATGCAATGGATCATAAACAAACTTATTATCTTCCTGGTTAGAATTTAAAAAAATACTGTATATTTAATAAATTTTGAAGAAAAAATATTATGATTACTTCATATATTTCTAATAAATCAACATCATTATTATCATCATCATCTTTCATCAATGTCTTAACAAAATCAGTGCAAAGATCAATTGGTGGTTCTATAGAATATTCGTCATCCATCTCATCAAGAATAGTATTTTCTTCTGATTGGTTCTATCAAAATACTAAAATTTTACAATATAATACTAGAAAAATACAATAATAATTGTATTAACTTCATCACTTGGAAGATCTAAGGTAATATTTTTAAAATCATTGTTGCAAGTTTCTTCTGTAGCATAACCTTGAACAACAAAAGCATTGTATCCACGTCCAATCAAAAACGAAACTAACAATATTGCTAATTCAAAACAATTCGCAGTTTGATTTTTTAACACTAAAGCTGGGGATTTTACTTGTTTAGGCTAGAAATTAATAAATAAATAATATTATCCACATGTTAAAGGTTTTTTGATTATTAGGTATTCATTTGTATACCTAATATTATAAAAAAAAACCATAGGCGGAAATAGAATTTAATTTTTAGGATGATGATATATTTCCCTAAAGAATGCTTTTATTAACAATATATATAATTTTATAAACTTTAAGTTGTGATCCCTCTCAACCCTGCGCAAATTTCCACCTATGAAAGAAACTTTTAAAAATTACCACTAAAATAGGATTGCTTAATGGCACATAAGTCATATAATTAGCAATAAATTGGCTGCAAGATTTTAAATCGCACAGATCACTATAAGGCAATATTGATGGTTTAATTGTTGTACAAATACATTTCTAAGAAAAATAGATTTATTTCAAATTCTTAAAAAGTTTTTTAATTTTTTAATAAACAACTTGATAGCCACATTCGTTTTCGTGAACTAAGAGAAGTTGTCGTCTATAAGGATATTTTGTCTCGAACTGTTTAATATAATTATTTGCATACAACAGTACAACTTTTTCAATATTTGTATTACTCACGTAGGAATCTGGAATGTCATAACTACAAAAATTAATTTTTAATAAGCCCACTAATTTATAAAATTAATGATACTTCTTTTCCTGATGATTAAAAATTTCATACACTATAAAATGCCAAACACCTAAGTATCCTAGTTGTTCTTATATTACACTAACTTTATTAAATTATAACTTTGCATTAAATTTACTACTCTAAAAAAGTATGAAAAAAATTAAACAAATGTAGTTTCAATACTTAAAAAAATGACTAAAAATATTTTCTATCTAATTAATTACTATTTATACATAATTATTACTTGTCAAACAAATATTTTTGTTTAAACTCTGGCCACACAAGTTCGATTTCAGATATTTTATGCTTTGCTTCATCAACGGCATCAATGTAATGCTTTAAAATTGATAGTTCATCTGATTTTCCAGTATAAGATTCATTTGTAATCAAAGATGTATCATCTAATTCATTTTGTTTCTTAGTGGTTATAATATCATTTTTTTCTTCGTCCGTATTACTTTCAGATATAATAGCAAAACTTGTGATCGATTTTAAACTATCATCTGACTTACAACCTTCATTTTGAGTGAAATCATCCTTTGAAAAACTATATTTTTTATTGTCTTCTAGCTCTTCAATAAATGTTGAAGGACTTAAAGATTCAACATCATCCAACAACCAATTTAATAAACCAGATTCCATTTCAAAGAATCAATTTTTCTTTAAAATTGATATTAATTATCAAAATTGTATTATAATTCTATACTTTATAATTTAACGATCAAATGATTATTGTTTCCAAGCAATGAAATATTTATAATTTGGGAATATAACGATGACAATGACAATTTATAATTTATCTAAAAATCATAGGCAGATTTGTATAGACAAAATATTATTTTAATCATGGATCAAATTTTTATCTTATTGAATAATTTTTAACCCTTTATTTTATTATGAATTACGAACTAAATAATGGTCTTTTAAATGATAATTCTTGTGCCTCCTTTTGGGTAAGTAAACATAAATTTTTAATTTTAATACTTAAGGTGTACTTTGAATACTATTTTAAGTAGAATGTATATTTTTGATTAAAGCCTATTTTACTTTGCGAGCCAAATATTAGTGAAAAATGTTTAAGTAAATACAATAAACTAATAGAAACAAATAATAATTTACACGAAAAAAACAAGACTCTTTTGGAAGAAAATGAAGAACTTCAAAGAAAGCTTGAAAATTTTGAAAAAATTGAAGTCGAAAATAGACAGTATATTTATGTTGTTAAATTATTATGATTATTGAAATAAAAGTAATTAAATATTTTCAATGACAATTATTAGATTATCGTCCAAACTTAAAACATTTCTCAAAGAGAAATTGAATGACCAATGTAAAATAGAAGAAATTAAGTGTTTGGTAGCTGATCAAGAGGATGAAATAAAAAATCTAACCACACAAATCTGTTTCTTAAACACGCAGTCTGGTGAAAAACAAGTAAATTAGACTTTTACATCAACCCATTAAGTTAATATTGGATACAGTACGTCAGATTTAGTTAAAAATTAACAATATATATATTTTAAATCGTTAAGTTAAAAAAAACTAAAAAAAAAATTGTGATAGTGATAGTGAAATTTGTGATAATGATTAAAATCACTATCACAAATATACCTGATGCGAGCCTATGGATAGTGTTTGATTTTTAAAAAGAATTGTTGAATTATTCCAAAAGCAACATCAATTCCTAGTTCCATAATTATATCTAAATTACAAATTTTATGATTTGTAAGTATAGTACATCAGTAAAAGTGATGGTTATCAGACCTTGTGTTATTATGGTATTCATTCTTATATAATGTATTTTAATGGTACACTGAAAATTTAAATGGTGTTTCCTATCATTGTACTTACATTAACAAATGTATTTATTATTTTTAATTAATACAGATTGTAAACTATATATATTAAAATTGAAAAATAATGATAAAAAATCATATATATTACATATATCATATGTATTATACTTTGAGGAAAGTGTCACAATCTTTAGTACCATTTTATTTTAAAGCTTGGTATCCCTCCATCTAGACCAGCGATACTCAACCTTTTTTTTATTTGGGCCACATAAAATATATTTTAAAATATTGCACGGGCCGCAAGTTAAATGAACGGAAAGGAGATTAAAAAAAAAACTAAAAATACATTTATATATTATGTATACAACATTTGAAAATTTATTGTAAAACATTAAGTTATCATTTTAATCTAGTATGAATTTTGATATTGAGATATATTATTTATTATTTTGGATATATCTGGTTTTCTGTTGCATGCTACTCTTAACAAGTCGTCAAGATGTGAATCAGTAAGCCGATATCTGTACACATTCTTTGCATATTGCATTTTAGAATATGAAGTTTCACATAAATATGTTGATGTGAACATTATTAACAAAAAGTGAGCACATTTTTGTATGGTTTTTTATTTTCCTGGCACTAAATTCCAAAATTCTATGTATTGTTTTTTTTCTCTTTTTTCTTTGAAAGTAACATCCAAATCTGTATCATTTTTTAATTCACTAAATTCATCAAATATTTTTGAAATATCAGATACAATTAATGCAGCTAATTGTGTTAAACTAGTAACTTCTAAATGCCAAGGATTTTCTACAAGTAAAAAGCAATTTTTCACACTTCTTAAGTCCTGAAATCTTTTATTAAATTCATTGGATAAGGCAGCTAAATGATTTAAAATTATTATATTGTTTGGTTGAGAAATGATAATATCATCTTGTATAAATTTGGAAAGGGTAGGGAAATTTATAGTATTTTGTTCTCTATTTCCTTGTGATAGATTTCTAGTTCCTCTTCAAAAGCAAAAACTTTATTTGCCATCTGCGAAATAATTTTATTGTCACCCTGTAAACCGTGGTTGACTTCATTAAGTTTTACTGTGATATCACACATATAAGCTAAAAGGCACCACCAATTATTATTTTTAATTTCATCAAATTTGTTGTTTTCTTGCAAAAATGTAGTAATTTCTAACCGTAAAGCAAAAAACCTTTCCAGTACTTTACCTCTACTTAGCCAACGCACCGAAGTATGTAAAAGAACGTCACTGTAATTGCTGTTCATTTCTTCTAAAAGACTTAAATTTTCTGTGATTTAATTCATTTGCTCGTATGTAATTCACAATTTTTACTACGTTTTTCATTACGTAAAAATTTACCAGAACTTTATAATAAGTTTTCAGAAATGAGAGCTGTATGTAAAGCACTTACAAAACGTTGTTATTCAAACTATTTACATAATATACAAAATAGTCTAGTATCTAATCCTAAATACTTTTGGTCATTTATAAAAAATTGTAAAAATATAAATCGCTTACCAACTACATTAGATCTAGATAATACACACTCTGATAACCTAAATGATATAGTTAATATGTTTGATAAATATTTTGGATCAGTTTATTTATCTCCTAATAAAAATGTAAATGGTTCTTTAAATAGTATAGTCTTAGATAATATCCATCTAAGTAAATGTACAGTCACAAGGTCTGAAGTCTTTGATGGCCTTATAAAATTACATGTAAATACAACGGCTGGTCCTGACCAAGTCCCGGAGATTTTTTTTAAGAATTGTTGCTACTCCCTAACATGCCAAATTCATTTTCTATTTTCATTATCTTTATCATCAGGTATTTTTCCAACTATTTGGAAGACTAGTTACATATATCCGGTATTTAAATCTGGTTTAAGATCAAATATACGCAATTATCGACCAATATCAAGATTAAGCGTTTTACCAAAATTATTTGAAAAATTATTATTAACGAAACTTACATACTTTTTAAGTCCAAGTCTGTTAGATAATCAGCATGGATTTAGACCTTTCAAATGCACAGTTACAAATTTATTAATTACACAGATTTAATGNTAGACATGCCTCGTCGTCAAGTGCAAATACCATCATTAACAGTCAAAGGTGGTCGTGTAGATGCAATTTATACCGATTTAAAAAAAGCTTTTGATAGTGTTGACCACTCAATATTGATTAATAAATTAAATGCTTTGGGAGTAGGAAATCCAATGCTAAAATGGTTTTCCTCTTACCTAAATGATAGAAAACAAATAGTTAAAATAGAAGAATTATCGTCCTCTGTTATTCTTGCAACATCTGGAGTTCCACAAGGTGGGCATTTATCTCCTCTTTTATTTATAATTTTTATTAATGATCTTTGTAACGTATTAAATCATTGTAAGTATTTATTATTTGCCGATGACTTAAAGATATATGCTCAAATTCAATCACTAAGTGATTATGATAAATTACAATCTGAATTAGATAAATTTTATGAATGGTCAATAAAAAATAAATTACAGATAAATGTTAATAAATGTTTACAAATAACATTCACAAGATCTAAATCTTTTATTCATAACCAATATGTAATTGATGGTTGCAATCTTAGTGTAGTTTACTATGTGAAAGATTTAGGTGTTTTCTTATCTAGCGACTTAACATTCTCAAAACATATTACATATATTTGTAATAAAGCTTCTAAGACACTAGGATTTTTAAAACGTAATTGTAATGAATTTCAAAATATAACATGTTGGAAAACCTTATATATTTCACTAGTACGGTCTATTTTGGAATATAGGTCTATTATATGGTCACCTTATGTGCAGAGTGATATAAATAAGATTGAGTCCATTCAACATCGTTTTTTAAACGTAATCTCTTCTAAAATTAAAAATAATGAAATTAATCATAAAAAGTTACTTGAAAATCTAAAAATGCATTCTCTTTTGTGTAGAAGAAATTGTTTAGATGTTATATGGATTTATAATCTACTAAATAATAAAATCAATTGTCCCGAAATTTTAAACTTAATACCGATGAACGTTCCTCAAGTATCTCTCCGTTCCTATCCAATGTTTTATATATCTATTCATACACAAAACTATAGTAGAAACGCTCCGGTAAATCGAATGTTGAATTTATGTAATAAAATAAATAATTTTGATTTTTATCATGATTCTTCAACATCATTATGGTCTATTTGTTGTAAAACGTTTAATTCATAATACCATAATATTATACACTTTTTTAGCTAACTTGTTTGTAACGTATTTAGTATTATAGAATTTTTATAATCATTTAATTATTAAGTTAATTTTACTATATACTATTTTTATATTGTATTTGTTTTTTTTCTATGTTATTATCTGTACTACTTGCCTCACAGGCGTAATCATCCATTATGATGAAATAAATAAATCTACTTCTTGAATAGAGATGCGTGCTGCCAAGTTTTCTTGGTGAATAATACAATGGAAAGACAATGTGTTTGTTAAATTATATTTTTTTCAATAAAGGAATGAAACCCCTTTTCACATCCGGTCATCGATGGACATCCGTCGGTGCACACAGAAACCAATTTTTGAATATCAATATCATTGTTGTCAAGAAAATTACTAATAACATTGAGATAATCGATGCCTCTTGTTTGATTTTTCATTGGAATGAATTTCAAAAAATCTTCATTAATAGAATTTTGTTCAGTACAATATCTAATAAAAATAGAACATTGTGATGTGGCTGAAATATCAGTGCTAAAAATCAAAGGCTAAACTAAAAAATCAACAATTTTTTAAGTCTTCAATAATATGGTTATAAATGTGTTCAGCAATATTTTTTATGCGCTTAATGCAAGTAGAATCAGAAAGCTGCATTTTTTTAATTTCCGATATTATTTGATTTTTATTGCTAAATCTATCAAATAGTAAGGAGGAAACATTTATAAAACATTCTTTCACTATTTTAGCGTCAGTAAATGGTTTTAAATGCTTACCGAGTATGTAACAAATTTCGTATGATGCAGTTGTGACAGCTGCATCTTGTGATACCGCCACTGACATAACACTTTGCTGTTGTTGCAATGACTTCTTGAAAAAAGTTAATTTTTCATATCTTATCAAAGATCCGGGATTTTAAGTACTATTAAATGATTCGTGTTTTGTATTATAGTGACGAATAATATTATATTTTTTAAATATAATACTTTCTCGACAGATTAAACAAGTAGCTGAACCCTTTTTATTTGGTACAACAAAATATTCTTCTTCCCAACTGTTTTGAAAAATTCTATTTTCTTCAGATATTTTTTGTTTGTTTTTCGAAGATACCCCTACCATAATGTCACAACAAATATATATATATATATATATATAATTAATGATTCAAATAAAATAAATACGACACATACGCCAATACACAACTACAATGTGACTGCTTCTATAATCATAATGCGTATTTACATACTAGCAAAGACCAGTTTAGAGATAAGATAAAATACATCAAAAACGTTATTAATAGTAAAAATTCCGAAAATAATCATACTTATCGCAACCGCGTACGACACAAATTATCTTTTTGATAATACCTATTGTATATCTTATAATATTAGTTTTGAATGTATATTTTTTTATCATTCAATGAGTTCTGTTTGGGCCGCATAAAAACCATTGGTGGGCCGCATGCAGCCCGCAGGCCGCAGGTTGAGTATCGCTGATCTAGATCTTTATCAATAATTTATTAAAATAAGTGCAATATGTTATATTTATATAGTTTAATAATTATACAATAAATTAATCCCAATAATACAGCAGTTAGCATTAATAATTAGAGAGGATATAACAATTAATTGATAATGTTATTTTATAAAATAACATCTGAACAACTTTAAATTATTTTTAAGTCACAGTAAATGATTCAGTGCATTATTAAAATACAGAATTAATTAAGTTACAATAATATATATATATATGTATTTAAAACAATAAAATAATAGAAATTTAGTCCAAAATCATTTATCTTTAACAAGCTGTAACAGATAAACGATTGATCGGAAAAAAAAATTATAAGAGCAAAGTTGTTTGTATTTTTATTTTAAATCATAATAACAAATCCAAAATAGGGGTTCCCATTTAAAAAAAATTCAAATAAATGTTTTTAACCTTGAAGGGATAAAAAAAATTATGATTTTACTACATATTATTATAGAGTTTTTTGAATTAAACAATATTTTCCTTACCAAAAATTTAAAAAATTGAATAGTTACCGAGAAAATGATTATCTTATCCTTAATGAATCACCCTGTATAATAACGTTGACATTTTTATATGTTAAATAATAATAATTATTGTAACAAATTATATTTAAAAATATAAATAATAGCATTTATAATTTAATATTTAGTGAAGAAAAATAACGTCATAACAAACATTATATTTGAGCGAATGCGCAATCAGCAAAGGTAAAAAGATATGACATAAAATTTATGCCTGACGCCTGTCAAATTTACACACATCTCAAAAATATTACATTTACTATTTACAGGATGTTATTTAATTTTTATTTTTATATTGCATTTATACCTCACATATATGTGTTTATTGAGTTGTAATATTTTAGTATTACTATGTGAGTTTCATCGCTGAGAAGTAGCTATAGGACCTATAGTATAGGTGCTTTTTGAGATGTAAATCTGTATTTAGGATATAACATGGATAATTAAGTTGTATATCTCATTTCATATATCCTAATGCTAATTGCATAGATTTCAACGTATTGCACATAGTGATATTTCATTACCTCTATGGCTATCGTTTATCGAAATTTTATGCATGGACTTATCACAAAAAAAAACCGTAGAGTAATCCACAAGAATCATGAGCTTAAAACCTCGTAAACCCTAATTCACTCAGTGAGGATGGCAATATGTACCACTGCTTTAAAGTCAGTCGTGACTTTGGTTAGTTCAGAATAGTACCTACCTAGTATATACCTATTTGCTAAAAGTAAATGGGAACCTCTAATCCAGACATTCAGAGTGAAAAGGATGTTAACTTGTCACAGGGTAGTTAGCTCAAAGATAAAGTGACTTTTGGGCACCTCTGTGGGATCAAGCGCACTCTATTCAGTCCATATGGAAAACCACAAATCAATCATCTTGTGACGAACAGCGGCTTTACGGATAACCTTTTGATACAAGAACGTGAATTGACGGCTCTTCGCAGAAGAATCATTGAAATTGAAAATTTAAACGTAAATAAGGGGAATATTACTGAACTGTCTACTAGCGAATAGGTCATGCTAACGGATAAAGACCACAATTAGTAAGACACATTGGAAATAGTGGATGCGAGGATCAAAGGTCTTAAATTTGTGATTAAAAAACTTAGCGGCAGTCAATATGAGAATATTATACAATTCGCGCAAGTAAATCTGCATCATAGGCAAAGGTTCAATAATGACTTTTATTGAAAAAGCAGACTTTCCAGCGAAGAGAGGTGCAGAAAATACCTGTGTTAGATCAAAACTAGTGGTGAAACTGACAGGACAATTCCTCAAAGTACTACCTAAAAACTGATGTAGATAACAACATAGGACAATATGATGTTTAAAATTGCTTAAATGTTTAATTACTAGGGATCTTAATAATATGACTAGAGATCAGATAAGCACTTTGACTGAACTACTGACAGGACACAGTCATCTGNACTAGTGGTGAAACTGACAGGACAATTCCTCAAAGTACTACCTAAAAACTGATGTAGATAACAACATAGGACAATATGATGTTATCTAGAGGTATCTAGACAAAAATGTTTATCAAGTCCCCCGGTCTATTACTAGGGATCTTAATAATATGACTAGAGATCAGATAAGCACTTTGACTGAACTACTGACAGGACACAGTCATCTGCTTTAAAATTATGTGTGAATGTGACACACTGGTCACATTAAGATCTAAGAATTTGGGAAAATCTTTTCCTATATATGTATAATATACAAAGGATTACAAATTCAGTTAGCTAATTAGTTTTCTATAGGACGTCGCTGTTACAATCACGGATTGTTTATTGTCAATTATGATTATCTATAGATATACTTTCTGTATTGCTATATAGTGTATTTATAAACTCACAATAATGTGCCTTATTACCATTGATAATAAATTCTGTGTACCTGCGAATATCGAAACAACAAAAGTTTATTAGAAAAATAATTAACTAGTTAAGTTAAAAACTTAAAAAAAAAATAACTTTATAACTTAACTTTAATTTTTTAACTAGTTTATGCTCACCATTGAGTAGTATTAGATATATAGTATATAAGTATTATAGTAGACACACCATAATGTATGATAGATATCCTTTTAGTTATCCCGTTACAAGCGATTTTCGTAACTTTCTTTTGCGTTGCAAAGCAGTCAAATTGATCGTTGAAATGAAATAAAACACATAATCAGCAATACAAAGTCGGCGGTATCCTTGTCAAAGTGTAAAGGGCGGGGAAATACATGAACACCGAATTTCATATTAATAGCTGGACGATGAAAAACATGATTGAACAAAAAGCAGTGTGCGGTACCGTGTCAAAGTCATAGTTACTGAATATTAATTTCATACTAAATTTAATTGATATATTAAGTATTTATTCGTGTATTATATTTAGAAATCTTAAAATTGTATTAATATATAATTAATAAAATAAGAGCTGACTTGCTATTGGAAACATTAAATATTTCCTTTTAAAAATCAAACACTGTATACAAATTTACATGAAAGCATTTTTTATAATAGAGATTTTAATCACTGTCAGATATTATCAACACTTTTACAAGATAACACGGCCGCCGGGGATTGATGGCTAGTTATAGAAAGTGTATCGGAAATCATGTAAAAAAAAAAAGCTCGGTACGGGATTAGAACCAAAAGCTTCGTAGAAACAAATTTTCCAACTAGGCCATCGTGCACTTTTGATTCAAATCCCGATACACTTTTATTTAGGTTGATAACGTGATGTGAGAAAAACACGGTACTGTGTCGCAGTTAACCGCATTCCCACTGTGCAGGGTTTTTTTATAGTTTTCAGGAAAACATTGGTGAAATCTATTTTTATCTAACCCTATCAGAAAATAGGGTTAGAATGATCATAGAATTACTGTTTGTCTTTTTAATATCTTTGAGTACAGACATGAAAAACCCATAAAAAATCCACTGTTAAATTATTTCTCTGACTTCTATATAATTATTAAGTTGCACAGAGTACAATATGCATAGTAACGGTTGACTGTTGTTTATTTTGTACGTTATCTTTTCATATAAGTCAACCAACTTACTGATTGACTAAAGCTACTGGATTTATCTTAACACTTTTAAAAAGGGAATATAATTTCAATTTATAAATCATTTTACTGTCAACAGTTAAAAATAAAACGACGAAAATCCTGTTTGATTTTTTATGTAAATAATTACAATTGCACAGAACAACAAACTATAAAATAATTTTTAATTTATAGAATCTGGTTTCAGATTTTTTATTTCACTTCAAGTTTTTGAGATAATAACTAATTAGTAATTAAGTGATGTTTACCCAATAAAATCATCACAAAATAACATAATATTGTTTTTGATTTTCATACAATTATTTCATGATGTTTAATAAAAGTTGTTTAAATTTGGAACTGCTCCATTAAGTTTACCTAATTATTTGAATCTTTAAAGTTGAGTTTAAATGTTATTAAAAAAAAAAATTGAATTTTATTGTACAACTTTTTTTTTGTTCAACTTACATTCATAACAATTTCAACAGAAAAAAGATAATTTTATAGTGATTTAAAAAATATTAACTTTGTGTTTTTTGAAAAAATATTAAGCGAAAAAATTGCTAATAATACTAAAACAACAGGAAAAACATAAAAATTCATACACAAATACTGGCAATAATTTCCTACAAAAATATACAAATTTATTTATAGTATTGTTTTAATTTAAAGTAATTGATGTAATGATATAATACTATCTTATATATTTTGTAACGATAAATAGGGCATTGTATTAATACTTTTGAGCATACTAATTAGTCATTAACTCAAAAACTAGATGTGACAGAAATAATATGAACCCATATTTGGAATCAATGTCGAAATTAATGTAAAAATTCTAAACAAGAAATTGTCTGTATTCTTGTGTTATTATAATTAAAATTTATTTATTAAATGTGGAATGATGAACATTTTTCTCTAACTTAATTTATTTATTTTATAAAAAAAAGTGTCTGATTAATATTTCCTCAATTATTCTAAATATCCAATTAAATTTAATAACTTACAATGGTGTAATTTCTAAACTAACAAGATGAGGCTACAATAAAAAGGATTACTAATTATCCTATTAGATGAAGATAAAAATATTGCGGTTCTTTTAGAGCATTCAAAAAAATGATGATGAAAAATTTCTGAGATAATTTTCTATTTTGTTCAAAATTATTTAGTACTTAGGTTTTTATCGAGTTTTCCAAAAAATATTAAAAGATAATTGTTTCTATAAATAGTAATTTAAATTTTATTATAATATAGTTTTTCAAAAGACAAGTTATATTTCTTTATAATTGTACTAGATATTATTCAGATATTTTAGTCTTTTGAACAATCATTTTCATCCGGTAAGAATAGAGCGCAAGTAGAGAGAGACAACAAAATATACACACCATGGGACAATTAATACCTTTTTAGCTAAAAAAATGAATGATAACATAATGAAATTTTAAAATATAATACTTTTATGAAATGTTATCAGGGTTATGTTAACATTATTTTAGGAGCAAATCAGACATAATTTATTACAGATCAAAAATGAAATTACCAGTATTTGTAGTCATGAAACTGGTTTTCAAAATCGATGCAAATTAGAAAAATTGAAGGAAATTACAACACATTTAATTTGTTTGTTGGCAGAAGATAATAATTTAAACAGAGAAATTAGAAACGAAAGGTTTTGTAACACAACTCAAAATGATAAATCACACAATGGTTGTGGAGATGTTTCTGAGTTAATTTGTACTATTGAAACTGTATGTGACTCTAATGATCCTAGTGGCTTAACAAAAGAGCTATTATTAACAGCAAAAGATACAATTCAACATTTGACTTCTAAAATTAATTCCCAATCTGATCTTATATGTCGCTATGAAAAAGATCTTTATGAACTTGTTATAGAATTAAAGAAAAGGGCAGAGTATATAATGAGGTTAGAATGTGAACAAAAAGCAAAGCAAGATGATTTAACTAATTTAGCAGATGAACTAAAGAAAATTATTACAGAAAAGAGTTTTAAAGATATGGATATAAAAAGAATAAAATGTGAATTAGAGCAAATGAAATGCGAATATGAGAATTTATTAAAAACTTGCGAAAAACGCGAAGATGAATTAGTAAATATAAAATACTGTTTAAATATGAGAGTAGAAGAAACTAGGTCTTTAACAAAAGAAATTAATGAAAAAAATGAAGCAATAGATTTTTATATAAAATCAAAACAACAAATGGAATATGACTATGATAATATAGAAAAAATGTTAAGGAAACAAGAGTCTCAGAACACTAAACTAACTACAGATTTTGAACTGCTGATGAAACAGTTCAAAAATATAGAAAGTGATTTAAATCGTGAAAAAATAGAAAATACAGCCAAAACAAATGAAATAACACAATTAGATAAAAAGTTATTATATCAAAATAATATAATTAATGGATTAGGAAGTAAAATTTTATTACATGAAGATGAAATTGACAAACTTAATAATAAAAACAAAGAATTAGAGTGCACAATCAAAAATAACTTCGATAAATTCGAAAATATTTTAAATAGCTTAAAGTTAGACATTGAAAAAAAAAATTTAGAACTCTCTAAAGCAGAAGAAAATTTAAATAAAGAACGTTTGTTAAACGAACAAAATAGCTGTCGTATAGAAAAATTAATTAATGCATCAGAAAATTTGGAAAAAGAATTAATGAATTACAAAAGAGATTGTGAAAAACTTAAAAAACAAATTGCAATATCAGAACTAGAATTATCAGAATCTCAAATAAATGTTGATGATTTGAATAAGCAACTGAGTAATGCTAATAAAGAAAATGATAAATGGAAACGACAAAGTATTTCACTGAACAATGATATGGAAGGTAGACAACAATTAGAGGAACAATTAAAAAAAGATAATATTGAGTTGAAGAATAAACTTGAGTCAATAGTGAATGAAAACTGTAAACTGAAATGTGAAATAGAAGAATTGAATAATTTACTTTCATGTGCAAAAAATAATGAAACATGTGTGCGTAAAGATCTCATAAAAGCTAAAGAAACTATAAGTCAACTAAATGAGATAATAAAAAGCACAGAGATAGAAATGTGCTGTTATAGAAAAGATCTAAACGCTAAAATAGAGAAGCTTACATGTACAGAAAAACAAATTCTAGAATATAAAAAACAAATTTGTAATGAAACTGCTGTAAAAGACAAGTGTAACGAAGAATTGTGTGAAATTAAAAAACATTTAAAAACAGAAATGTGTAATATAAAAAATAAAACAAAAAATCATGAAAAAATTGATCAGTGGCAAAATTGTGATAAAAACAAAAATAATACAACAGAAAATATTTCATGTGAACAGAAAAAACAAGATACGAAACTACACGAGAAGAACAGGTGATATAAATTACTAATATAATTACCAGAATACATTATTTTAAGCATAAAATATTACTTTTAATGCTATCCGCTCAATTTTTCTTAGAGTAATTACTTTTTTGTGAACTTTCTTTGGATTTTATTAGTTGCATAATATTTTCTATTTATCTGTTGTAAAATATATTTATTACCATCCCTTATGACTTTTAAGAATGTTAACTTTATTTTATAAAAAACAATCTAAATATTTAACTACTTTATTAAAAAAAAAACCCAGCACAGGGGGGTCGCGGCACAGTGGTGACGTAGCATAGATGGATCAAGTATAATGATATCTGACAGTGATTAAAATCACTATAAAAAAAAAAACGCTTCGATGCAAATCTTTAGATAGTGTTTAATTTTAAAAAATTGGTGGATTATTCCAAAAGCTACATGATCTGCTAGTTCATTATTAATATCCTAATTAAGATAAAGTATGTCGAATGAAAAAGGGATTATTAAAAAATATTATTTCTCATAAAAAAATAATGTTGATCCATACACTTTTCAATATGTCATAGCATTATAAAGTTAAAAATGTAAAAAATAAAATCGAGAATTTTCACACAATAATAGCATTCGGTAGCCATTTTCACCGAGAAGACAAAATAAAGTCCGAAATTTTTTTTTTTGCATAATAAAGTAAATTACATTAGCTTTAATTTAAGATATATATATAAAAGTGTCAGACTTTCCGGAACATTTTCAAAAGTCAAGTTGAAAAAATTAATTTTTTGTGAAAAAGTTGTCATTTTAAATCCCTCCCTGTAGGCAAGGAAAGGGTCACAAAAAAAAATATATCAAATGAAAGGTAATAATATCATGCATCTATATAAAAAAAATTATATTGATTCGGTTATTTTTAAAAAAGTTATGGCAATTTTAAGTAAAAAAAATTGAAAAAATTTCGAAAATTAGCTATTTTTAAATTTGTAATTTTTTTGGAGGTTTCCCCCATTTACGGGGAACGAAGGAATTTTTTTCAATTTTTGAGGATAATGTCTGCAACTAGATACGATTTGTGATCTTTTGACGTATCATTGAAAGAAATCGTTTCGGTGAAAGCTGAGAAAAAGTGGTAACAGGCACAAAAAAAAAAACACATCTTAGTAAAACCAATACCTTCTCAGCTTTGCATCGAAGCTAAAACTATGTAATTAAGAAAATGACTGTTAAAAAATATTTTTGTACCAGAATTTCAGAAGTTATTAACAATTTAAAGTAATGACTGAAGGTAAGAAGTGGTTACTACTATTTTTATTATTAGACATTTCTCAGCATTACTACTACTCCCACCTAGATATATAAGTATTAATAACTTCTAGAATACTAGTACAATAGTTGAATTATTTATTTCATTCAAGTACTTTAGTTTCCTTGGACAACCTCATTTTTTGATTTTTAAAAATTACCTGGAGTCGCTTAACTTTATAAGAAAAATAACTACAAATTATTCCTTAAAAATTTTCTTCAATTTTAAATAATTTACAATTTTTTTAATAAAACATGAAGCTACGATTTATTAAATATAAAAATACACATTTAGATAGATGTGGATATACGAATAATTACCTTAAACCAAATGCATATTATTGTTTCAAATGGAAAAAAATTTCTATTAAACATTTAACAATATATATTATACAGTTTAAATTTTTGATTTATTTTTATTAATAATTTTAATTATTCATTTTATTGGGAGAAAAAATTATTTCAAAGGATGATTTTAAAAAGTAACATTTAAAATAATTACATAGGAACCAATTTTTTTTTTTACTATTAAATTGGAACTAGTCTAAATGAAATGTTGATTAGTTGATAAATAGTTGTATAATAATATTACATTTTGAGATATTAATATTTAAAGATTTACAAAGGTAAGGAGTGAACTAGTGTTTGGTGACACTTTTTTTTAAATAAAGAACAGATAATAATTCTTCTGTGTTATGTACCTCACTCGCATGTCACTAAAAATTATAAAAACTAAAAAAGTAATATTACAATACTAGTTATTAACCATTCAACATTTTAATTTGGCCATTCTACATTTAATAGTAAAAAAAAATAAAAAAAATAATAGGTTTCTATTTAACTTTCAGTATTTACTCCCAAAATCTACCTTTAAGAATAAAGTTTTCTTACAATAAACTTAATATTAACAATTGTTTATAAAAATAAATTAAATTTTAATCTAAAAAAAAATTTTTTTATAAAAACATATACATGAAAAAACCATTATTTAATAAAAGAAAATGATAGGTATTCTTACTAAATTGCGCTGTTTTTATTTATTAAACATAACATTATCTATAAATATATGTTGAAATCAAAACTTTTAGTTTAAAAATATTTAAAAAACTAAAAATTTTATACAACTGTCTCCCTATTTTTATTTTTTAACAATAAAGCACTGAGTAATTTTAGTTTCTTATAAACTAAGCCTAAAGCCTTAGTTTACAACGCTTACCTTTCTCCTGTGTTCCACTAAATGACAGAAATGGTTCTCAAAGTATTTTATTAATTGTTTAATAATATTTTTTATTAAAAGTCTTATATTGTTAATTTAAATAAAAATAAAAATTTGATGTTTTTTAGACTTATAGAAGAAAATAAAAGATTATCTAAAGCATCAATGAACAATATTTGCAAGTGTAACAATCCAGAGACACCTCAAAATAAAATAAATGATAGCAGTTTAGAAAAATGCAATAATACTTCAAAAAAAAACATAGAAATTAAAACTTCTTCAATTGGCATCCAGACAACAAATAGTTCAGCTGATGAGTCAACTGAAACAGACAGTAATATATCATTTAAAAATGATATATATTCTAAATATTCTACTGAAGAAGTAGACAAATGCCCAATTGAATATCTAAAATGTAAACAAAAAAATTGCAGTAGCTTAAATGATACATGTTCTCAAACGGAAAATACTTGTGCGGCTAACTATATAGCACGACAAAAACTTGAATGTGAGTTAAATGAATTGAAAAAATTTGTTTGTGAACAAGAGAAAGCAACAAAAAAATCAATACATGAATGCGAACAAAGACATTTTGAAATGGACATGGAAATGAAAGCCAAATATAAAAAAAGAGAGGATGAGCTTAATGCTCAGTTAGGTTCTTTTGAAACTAACATGTCATATTTAGAAAAAGACTTGAAAGCATCTAAAACTAATGGTATGTAAGTTTAAAGTAACCCTAGGTAAAACTATATTAAAACTTAGCTAGGAGCAGTGTCTATGTGCGTAAGTTTAAGGATTCCATTCCATAACACTGTGCTGAATGAGTTTTACCGTCTTCTATGTTATAAGCAATATATTTTTTGAAATTATATTAAATAAAAATAGTCTATTAATATTCTATGATATTAATTTTTTTATTTTCATTCTCTAAAATTACGATTTATATTTTACGTAGAAAAACAACTTTGTGAAAAATTAAAGGAATTGAAGGAAATTAATGAAAAGCAAGAAAAAATGATTGAATACGAACAAAACAAATTTTTGACCTTAATGGAGCGCATGAATGAGTACAAAAAACAAATTGAAGAAATGAAAAAAAATGAATCGACAAATATTAAAAAAATTAATTCATTAGTAGAACATATGGATTTTTATAGGTAAGATTAGATTTATAAGTAGACATTCATAATGTTTTTTATTAAAACTTCACAATACATTTTAAGAATATGACGTCAAGAAGATGACGTGAAGCATTACTACCCAAAAAAACATTTCTTTAGGTACTATAAATTAGTATATACTGCTAATAATACATTTTCATATTCTCTAATGTCTTAAAAACATCTAAAATAAAATGTATAAATGTACAATGTCCCCAATTCCTATTTATATGTGGTGTCAGTGCTATGAATTATATACATTTATAAATTTTGTTAGTTAATCCAAACACATTATCAGCCAATACAACTTTTTTTAATTGACTTGTAAACTAAGTAACGTATTTTTTCAATTTTATAGTTTTGAAGAGAATTAAGAAGTTGATATTTTTCTAAAACATAAATATATCTACATTATTATATAATCCTATGACAAAGTTATACACACTGGCGCCCTTTAATATGAATTAAACAAAATTTATAAATGCATATTATTCATATAAATCATATTGCATTTCACTATAAAACCAAATTAAAAAAATTAAAATTTATTTTTTTAGGAAATCGTATAATTTTGAACGTAAAAAAGTAGAATCACTAGAAAAAAAACTTGATAAAACTCTTAAAGTAGTAAAAAGACAGCAAAATGCTATTGGTCATAATATGGATAAAAGTAAATGCACTATAATGAAATCTAAAGGAGGTAATGATACAAAAAAAATGTCAAAATCAATGAAATGGGGATTAAACTTACCTTGTTGTATTGGTTCAAAGACTCCCTGTAATAGACAAAAGTTACGTAAAAAACAAGCTTCGGTACCTCCGTGTAAACATCAAATAGCTGCTGAGGTAAATAACGAAAGATTTGAATAGTTATTGAAAATCGCTACATTCAAATATTGCGTTACCATAACCGCTATATGAAAAAAAAATATATAACCACTATTTATTGAAAAAGTAGAAATGCTATTATATACGTTCCTTTTAAAAGATATAATTTTTGCGTTACATTTATTGAACATATTTCTCCTAAAAAAATGTATATTCTTTGTTTTCTAAATATTACTATAGGGCAGTGGAGCTATCAAAGGTAGACAAGGCTGAGTGTTTCATGGTCCATTTTCCTAAAGAAGTTATAATGTTACTTCTACTAAATGATAAATATTTAAAAATTTGTATTAATATTATATATAAATAATATTAGTCCAACATTCTAAATGAAAGAAAACATAAGGTGACTCCACTAGTGAATAAACAGTTTTTTATCGTTTATATTTCTTTATTAATTTATATCTCAATATCACACTCAAAAATTTAATAAATATTTATTTTTTGATAAATTATTTACAATAATTATGCAAAAATGTTTATAATAGTTATAAAGATTTTTATATTATTGATTAAAATTAGAATTTTCTAGTAAATGATTGATGATATTGCATCACATTTTTTAATACTGCAAAGGTAATTCATTATAGATATTTTCATTGTAATAAAAACTACAA